GGCGTTTGGGACGGGCCTTCCCGTCCCTTCTGAATTTTCATTGTGTAATACATTTTCTATCCGAAAACGGGCTGTCTACTTCGTAATCAAAACTCAACAAACGAAGTATTCTTTTCATACGCTGGACATCTTTGGCAGTATGTGCCGCAGTTTGTAGAATACATGCAAATTATGCCAAATCCCTTCTAAGTTATTGATGTTAGCTTAAGAATCAAATAACACACCTATGAAAAGATACAAAAGACTAGCCCTAGAAGAAGTTAAATATACTTCCAGGCATACTTTGAATGACTCCGAACGTGTTCGAACAACAAATAAATGTTTTTTTTTTGCTTTTTTGCATGGAAGTGTACACGTTTTATTAATGATGTCCCACCATAAAATAAGCCCACTCTTCTGCTTAGAAGAAAATTTTGAACCGACTAAAAAACTGTTTTCTCTAAAATTAATATACTTATTTTTAAGCCACTTTTGTGGGTAAAACTCCCTCTAGCGCGTAAACGGTGAGAGATAGAGCCAAACGGACGAAATTTTCGCCCAAAGGGCTCTACTTTCACAAGTTACCCCTTACAGAGCCATAAAAAAAATATTATTTTTTCACTTTTTGGACCAACCCCTATTTCTTTGTTACCCCCTCAGACCCACTCAGGGGTGGTTGCCAGGATTTGCACCAACCGTTTCGTTGACCAGAAGTGGCAACAATAATACCCTGAAAATTTAAAACCTCTAGCCCACGTCCTTCTTGGGAAACGGACAGACAGACAGACACAGAGGCGATGGCATAAGCCCGCTTATATAGCTTTTAAGCAAAAGAGCGGGCTAAAAAGAGCCGCTGAGGATGCACACCGCTGTCAACGGAGTAAGGAATGCCCTGTGCCCGTCTACCTAAGTCTAAAAATGTATGCAGAAACAAGACAGAAAAAATTGGTTGATGCTGTACATAAAATGGGATTTGGCATAAGTTATGATCGAGTTCAAGGCATTATCACCGATATCGCCAATAGAAATGCTGCTCAATACGAGGCGCAGGGAGTGGTTTGTCCACCGTTTCTGAAGAAAAATGTGTTCACGACAGCGGCGGCAGACAACCTCGACCATAACCCCTCGTCCACAACAGCAACGGATTCTTTCCACGGGACTGCTATTTCCCTGGTTCAACACCCTACTACCGCTCAGGCTGGTGAGTATTGAGGGAACCTGCAGGTACCCTTTTGATGATAGGCCAACCCGCACAACGGAGTTGTACTCCTAGGTTGCCTACGCCTCTCTTCGCAGGCGGTTTAATGCACAATTTTTATTATTTTTATTTTTTTCCAGGGCCTTCTTGGCAGCCAATTCCTACTGTGAGTACGGGCAGAAAAGTGAGACAGCTCCCAAAGGATTTCGCAGACGTCCCGCCGTGCTTCCTTAATCCAAAGAATGCCAAGTTTGCGTCGTCATTAAAGGGTCAAGTGGACAGGCCATGTATAGAAAGCCCCCTCGACCAGGAACTGCAATGGCTGGAAAACGTGGCGGCGGGGGGCGAGGAAGCTGTCAACTGGTCAACTCACCACGCTTCCCGGGAGCGGGGGCAACTGCGTCTGGTCACCCTTGCTGCAATTCTTCCACTCTTCAAGGAGCACGCCGCAACCCCCGCTATGATGATGCACGCCATGAGAGTCGCCAAGAACGCCATCGAATTCCTAAACCCGGGACAGACTGCTGTTCTCACGGTCGATCAGCCACTCTATGCCCTCTGCAGATCACTCCTGATGCTGCTGTCACTGTCTCCAGATGCAGGCCTTGGCGAAGATAACATGATGATAATGATGGGTGGTCTACATATCGAAATGTGCCTGTTGCACTGCCTAGGTCAGTGGGCTGACGGAAGCGGTTGGACCACGCTGCTAACTGAAGCCGAAATCCTGACTGAAGGAAGGGCAGAAAGTGTTTTGCGAGGATCGCACGTAACAAGAACGCGGTATGCCCACGAGGTAATGTTTTATTATTAAATTTAACTTCAGACTCATGCTACTAAAAATGTATGGCACGTATTTTAACTAGTTTTTATTTTTCCCAGGTTACTGCTGCGGTTTTGTACTCGATGCTCAAGCAGGCATATGACGAAGACGGCGATTTTGTGCCCTTCGAGTCCTGGAGGGACGACAAGAGGAAAGCTGTTCCCCACTTTGCTTACTGGCACACTTTTCTTATCCTACAACTGACCATGCTGCAGTTCGTACGATCCATTCGCTCTGCTGACTTTGCCTGTTACGTAGAGACACTTGATTTGATAATGCCATGGTTCTTCGCTTTGGATCATCTTAACTATGCTCGCTGGGGCTCAGTGCATGTAAGAGATATGGCGAACATTGCCCAAACACACCCGGCTTTAGCAGCTGAATTTCGTGCTGGTCGTTTTGTTGGGAGAAATTCTAGCCGAGAGTTCTCTGGGATGGCCCTAGACCAAGTACACGAGCAGCTAAATGCCCGAATGAAAGGAAATAGCGGTAAGTTATCAAAAATCAAGATTCATTTTACTCTCACATACTATTTATTTCTAACTATTTTTTATTAATTTTTTTAGGCATGATTGGACTTACTGAGTCCCCAGATACCCTACTCAAATGGCTATTGTCCGGTCCGGACGTGGCTGTCGTACTCGAAAAGTTTGAGGAGGCTTATGGCATGCAGCAGACTTCCGACTTAACTCTGCACCACAACGATACGGCGGCGGCGAACGCGGCATTCAGGAGGGATGTCAAGGCCTTAAGAGCAAGATTCCTCGAGAGAGGGAACCCTTTTCTGGAAACCGGTGAGGAGCTCTTTAACATCGACAGCGGCAGAGTAGTTGCAGATAAGGCGGCACTTCAGGCAATCATGGAAATTGAAGATATAGGCAAAAGGCAGTACGCACTTTTCGTTCAGGAGCGGCTGGAAAGTGACACGAAAAGCCTCTTTGACCCTATTTCTAAAAACAATTTTAAGTTAATGAAGGCAGCTACAAAGAAAAAAGTTGTAACAAAAGTAGCCTCTTTGAAAAATGACGTATTTCTGTTCAGCCGGCTGTGGATCACTACCCATATGCGTAAAGGCGACATGAATGAGTTCTTTAAGCATGAAAACCAAGCTCTGCCACCGTCCCTCACATTAAATGGCACCATGCGCACAGGAGAAAAGTGTGAAATAGTGCCCGCCCTGATTGAACACACGACCGCAGTCTGCCTTAGCGCTTTCAGACCTACTGTTGATGCAATTGTAATCGATGGCGCTGCCTTGGTCAATATGATACATCCCAGTGCTACTTGCAAAACATTTGTCGAGTATTTTGCCTCATTTCACAATTATGTAGAAAGGGAAATGAGAAGTGTGTCCAGAGTAGACCTTGTATTCGACGTTTATCTTAAAGATAGCCTGAAAAATGGGACAAGAGACAAGAGAGGGGAAGGCCAGAGAATGAAAGTTACCCTGAACTCAAAACTTCCAACATCGTGGTCCAAATTTATGCGGGACAGCCAGAATAAGGAGGACCTCTTCAATATGTTAGCAGACTACCTCGTTGACAAGGATTGGAATGAAAAAGTGCTAATTGTCACTCGGCAATCGTCTTGTTTATCAAGCACAAGACAGAACCCTGGTAAGTAGAGTAATTATTCTGGCCCCATTAGACCTGAAATTTACTCGCGTTATTAAACTATGGCATTTCTGCTGTTTTTAGGAGAAAATCTGACGCCTTGCAGCCATGAGGAGGCTGATACGCGCATGATGTTGCATGCTGCATCAGCCGCTGCAAACGGGTGTCCAAGGGTGTTAATCCGGACAGTTGATTCGGACGTAGTCGTGCTGGCGGTGTGGACTGCCTCTAAAGTAGCCATGGACGAACTGTGGCTGTCGTATGGCGTTGGAAAGCACCAGAAATTCATAGCAGCGCATGAAATTGCCAAAAAACTAGGTATTTTATTTTTTGGGTGGTACTCTGAATTTAAATCAACTTTGTACACAATTTCTATACATGAACTCGTGCTTTGTAGGTCCAGCAAAATGCGAGGTACTTCCGGCATTCCACATCCTCACTGGCTGCGACATCACGTCATCATTTGGAAGTGTCGGCAAGAAAACTGCATTTGATACGTGGATGCTTACACCGGACGCAACTGAGGGATTGCAACAACTAAGCGATGGGCGACTAAATGAGGCACTTCCCTTGCTTGAAAAATTAGTCATAAGAATGTATAGCAAGTAGGTTTAATGGTTGCACTAGCACAAAATTATTTTATATAAGTAAAATGAACATCCCAAATTAAATATATATTTTTTGTTACAGGAAGTGTGCAGAGACAAAATTGAACAGTTGCAGAAGGGCGTTGTTTCAGGAGGGAAGACAAATAACCTCTCTACCACCCACGCAAGACGCTTTCTTGCAGCACTGCAAACGTGTGATGCGGGAAGTGAAGGTAGCGCTCCAATCACTTGTCCCCTTACCTGACGTCCCAAGTCCAGACAAATGCGGTTGGCGACGTTCAATAGAAGGAGACTGGGAGCAGGTGTGGATAACACTGCCCGAGGCGTCAAAAGCATGCAAACAGTTAGTTTCTTGTAAGTGCAAAAAACCCTGTAAGCCATCTGCATGCTCTTGCCTAAAACTCACTAAGTGGGGGTGTTCAGATCTATGTCCATGCCCGTGTCCTAAAACTGTGATTCAAAATGACACTGACGAAGAATAGTTCGTGACAAAACTAATGATGGAAAAGTTCTATGATTAAGTTATGGGATGAGTACAAAAGATTTTTAAAATGCTGTTTTAAATAATATTGTTTGAATAAATTTTGAAATTTTATAGTGTTCTGTTTAAAACCCGCATAGTTTTAATTTTGAAGAATTACATCAATAGCATCACTGCAATTGAAATCACTTGTCACTTTTTTACCCTTCAACATGAACTGCCTCCGGTTCAAGTAGAATAAGCACTGATAACGTTTTGGCCACGTTTTGCACCCTAGCAGAGGGGCCCAACAGGGCCCCACGGGCCCCACCTGGGGTAAGACGAAGAAAATGGATTACCACTTGTTTAAATACCGAAAGATATGCGTGATGGAGAAAGAACGGCGCCGATATTCGCAGCGGTTCAGGAGATACAGCTGCGAAGGAGTTTTGCCCCCCAGGGGGCCTCCGGGGGCCCCATTGGGACCGCGGCACCTCTCGAGTGGTGCCTCCGTCGTCACTCTTACGATCTTGTGAATGGTAAGACAAAATATCGAGCACAAACGCCATTACCTGCAAAGTCGGTCGTTTGTACTTCCAGTTTGGCCCCACAGGGGGTCCCTGCGGCCCCTTATGGGGCTCAATTTGTTCGATATGGATAGACTAGGTACTGAAGTGGTATGTTAGGAACAATTTTGAACCGATGTCAAAAATATTCCAATAGCAGTACAACAAAACGTCATTTTCAGCATTTCTGCCCCTTTTGGGGCCTCGGGGGGGCCCGGGGGGCACTGGAGCTTGTTTTGTGGGGCACCATCGGCCCCAAGTAGGGTGTTACGCACAAAATGAAAAAAAAAAACACCTCTCTAGGTGTATTGGTTAAGAAGTTACGTTCTGGGAAGCAAAAGAGAAAGGGAAAGGGGGGTGAAGGGTGAAGGGGGGTGGTGCCCGTTTGGCACCACGTCCTATTTTGATCAGTAGGTCATTAAGTACCTCCATGCCAAATTTCAGCTTCCTAGCTCACCGTGCAAAGTTGAGGTCACTAACGTCCCCACTAATCCTCTCAAATATGGAGAGGAGCTCAAAACCGATCGGACAGTTTCTCATACCTGAAAGGCCGCAGAGGCACGTGATTAGCTCAACCAATCAGAGCTATTACGGAAACAGAAGCGTCAGTGAGTTTGTTCTTTTCCTACTTTCGTTTCAGATTGCCTGGAACACCCTATCAGTAACCACCCTCGGATTTGCCGTATCTTTCACTGTTTCGGCCCTAGAGGTGGATATAATGAAAACAATGGGAAAAAGTCAAGTTTTAAGACTTTTTGACAAACAATACAATCTAAAAACTGCGCTCGTTCATTTTTTTGTATTTTTCTTAAGCAAAGCAGAAGGGTGGGGTGTAGTCACGGTGTTGCCCCGTTACAGTCTTTTGTCATGTGAAAGGAGCAGAAGTTAGTTTACTCAAATATGCAAAGTGATTTACCGGTCACATTATTTATTTGGTTATGCATGTTCTTCAGTATATCGCTAGACCATCGCCGACCATCGCCGCCGGCAGGCCAAGCAGGCCCGGCCCCTGCCGAACGGAGTTGCCGACGCAGCGAAGTGGAGCTGGCAACTGCGTTTGGCGGAAGGGCGGGCCTGCTTGGTAGTGACTGTTACTTTTAGTTCTGCGGCACTAATCCTGCGTATTTTGATTCAGGTTACATCCATCTTACGTCCCACTTGTGGCGTGCTGTCCAGCATGTCACCCACTACGGGTAAGTGAAAAGAACTATTCGTTTCCCACTGGTAGGGAGGTAGAGGTTGCCGGGAAGGGAAAATCTCAGTTACACTGTAAAGAATCAGTCTTGGATACGGAGCCTGTCACGGCGTTCCGCACCTCACTTTTGGGAGTGATTTTCGAAAGCGGTTCGGAGATTTGCCGTACATGGCCACCGTACCAACGATTTTTACATGGGCTAGCATAGGGAAGGGGGTACGGAACGCCGTAACAGACTCCGTACTCAAGACGAAGACTTCCGGATCAAAATTAACAGGACTTTTTCCGTACCTTTCCGTACCCTGGCTCCGTACCCACGTTTATTTTACGTGGGCTCTTATGGGAATAGGGTACACTGTTTGAAAAAAACCACAGGAGTTGAACAGTTATTGGTCAACTTGTTTCACGGTCTTCCTGTACTTGCTAAGTACGGTGTTTTGAGTACAGAGTACAGGAATTTTTAAGATGGAGCCTTATGGGCACTACAGTAATAAAGTACGGGTGTCCTGTACCTTATCCTGTACGGAATCCTGTACTTTTTCTGTACTTTGGTACAGGATTTTTAACAGTGTACGAAACTCAAGGTACGGAGACGCCGTAGGTTAAGTAAACGCAATATTTCCGTATGGGCGACCGTGATTATTTTTACAGTGTAATTTTTTCATTGACTCCTTGTTGTTCAGTTGTAGGACAACATTGATTCTTTGGTACCATGAAAAGTTAATCAGGGACAACAGAAAAGTTGTTGTGGAATAACAAAAGTTGTTCAGGCCTAACAACAAAAGAATTGTTCTATAACAATAAAAATTGTTCAGCAGCAACAAAAGTTGTTCAGAAGCAACAAATGTTGTTCAGGAACAATGAAAGTTGTTGAAGAACAGCAGAAGTTGCCTAGGAACAACATTGCTGTTTTGCAACAACTTTTTTTCGAACAACACTTTTTGTGTACACCACCGTCATCATTACAAGAGTTGTTTTCAACAGTAAATTTTTAGATTGTACCTGTGCCTAGTTACCAGATACTCAAGTAGATTTTAAGAAATATTTTCGTCTTGCGGCTAATCTGGGGAAAGGGAAAGTGGCAACACCAATAGACTATTCCGCTGGACCCGCTAATCGCGATACTCTCGAAAAACAAATGCACCGGAAGTCATCTAAAACCGGCTCCAGAGGCCTAATTACACCATAATATTGTTCAAACTTCATAAATAAATTCCCAAGAGAAATAATTTGTCACTTTCGAACATATTTTAGGGCTCTATGGAGGCTTAATTTTGATTTGAAATAGCCGACTTCCGGTGCATTTGTTTTTCGAGAGGTACGAGCGGAATGGTCTATTGGGTATTAGTCTGGGGCGCTGAGCGGACGTAGAAGAACAAAAAAGGAAAATGTAAAGGCGCCCCCACTCCGACCCGCCTGCCCCCCACTTCTCCCCGGGCGCTCTCCCACTCCGCCCAGTGGAGGAGAGGGGGACGACCGACCAGGGCGCCTTTCCACCTTCCGTTTTTGTTCTCCTACTTCCGCTCAGCGCTCTAGACCAATACCCTATTAATTGGTGTGCTTTTCAAATGAGAAAACGTTTGTCGAACGTACACTGTTGATAAATTTCGTCATTTCACGATATTAATATGTCACGAATAGTCTGTTCATAGCAGTAACTAGGTAGATGTACGCCAGACCACGTCTCGCGTAACAGGCTTCGCGATATCTCACGAAACACTGTTACGCTGCGACGCGCCTGGCATACATCTAGCGGCGCTGACACCCGAGTCGAGGAAAAGTCGTAAGTAGGCATTCAGCCCCAAAAGTCACAAATTTTGTTCCTCGGGGTTTTATTTTAATGAGTTACCCTATCGAAGACCATCAAATATCTGAGAAAAAACATAGAAATGTTTTGCGGTCATTTTGGTGTAGAAAAATCCCTCTGGTGCCTATAAACGGTTGAAGATAGAGCCAAATAGACGAAATTTTCGACCGGAGGGCTCTACTTTGATGAGTTACCCCTTAGGCAACAGTAAACCAATATTTTTAAAAAACGCCATTTTGGGGACCTGTGGTTGTTGAATTTTTAAAAATCAAATTTTCGAGCTAGAATGCTCTTCTTCGAACTCGATCTGTCTTTTTATGACACAAAACGACCCCGAAAATCCCAGGTCGCTAGCTCAATTCGTT